ATGGCAAAGAGCAGTTTCGTTACCACTCAGCAAAACGAAGCGTCTCTTGAAAGCGCTAGTGACAGTCAGGAAGTTGGGCTGGGTGGTTTGTTTTGCATTTTAAGAAGCCTGCAGGGACACCGACAACCTGCAACTATCATTTTCAGAAAGGAGCTCAGAGAAACTCATGATTTTCAGCAACCATTTACCCTCCTTTGTCCTTGATTAAAAATTTGCCAAGAGGCTGCTTATTAAATGCACCAAAACAGGGAGTGACCACTACCCTAAGTGCAAAGGAGGTTTGCTGCAGTATGTCCCCGTACATCACTCAGAGAGCCCCACACCAGTGCCTGAGGTTGGTTTTAAGAGCAAAAACATGACTTTCAAGCTGACAGCCCCCGCGCACAAAGCGCAACTGCGGTGACAAGAGAGCAGCCTGGGGCACAGGAGCTGCCTGACCTCTGCTACAGCTCTCAACGGCAGATTTTTATTGTTCACCACTTTCCCAAAGCACAGGCATGGAGAAAAAAAACAACTAAGACACTTGTCTCAAATGCAAACGCAGCTAGGGAGCCCCACCAGCACAGCAGGGAAAAGACAACCTGCCAGAGGGCACCATGCCTCAGCATTGCCAGGCTTGGGGGAAGAGGAACCAGAACACGGGCCCTCCCTCCCCAGGGGCAACAGCGAGAGATGCCCGAGGCCTAGATCACCAAGACACAGGCTCACCAGAGAGAAAGCAGCTCCTAACACACCGCAGGCCAGTCCTCTGCTCTGCATGGCTGAGCTAAAAACCTTCATCCTGCTTTCCAGGGTAGCCAAGGAAGACCCAGAAGTACAGCTCTGAGGCCAGTGAGAGCAGGTCTCCAGGGACCAGCCTGCAGCTAGAAAATAATATTCCCAAGGCCTGCAACGAGCACTGTTTGTTGGGGACACTGCTCGACCTCACCCTCTGCCATGCACAGAGCAAAGTGTGGAGCCCTTCCAAACCACCCCACTCCAGAAAATCCAGACATGCCACACTGGACATGGGACCCATGGGCTGCTTGTGCCCTGCAGGAAACAGCTCCTGCCCTGAAATGCTGAGGACTTGCAGGTGCAAGGGTGGAGGAAAGGATAAGCATCATGGTGCAACTCTGCTGCCCAGAGACTCAGCAGGCTGCCTTCTCCCAACACCCTTGTGAGCTGACAGCACAGATCCACACTGCTCCCCTCTGGAACTGACCTGTCTCAGGGAGCCACGCAACGTCCTCATGCAGCTCCATGACCGCAGGCCTCAGGGCTTGGTTCTCCCAAGATCCTGCATCAACATCGGAGGGCTCTGGGAGAGCTCCAGCACCAGCAGCTTCCTTGGACGTTTTAGCAGCCTCTGGACACATCAGACTGGCACCTTACAGGCTGTGCCTGCAAGGTGGGTACACAAACCCCTTGGCCAACTAATTACCCACTCACAGCAGGTGACAAACCATGTTTCTCCAGACTGGTCCAAGCAGGGAGCCAAGGGATCGTGGGGAAATGTGCTCCAGCTCCTCAATAAAGAGGTGAAAACCCCAAAAGCATCCAGAAGCCAGGCTTTTCTGCCGAAAACCAGTGCCGTGCTGCCTGCCACCACCACCTCCCCAGCCGTGCCCCGAGGCTGGCCTCACGTGACAGTGGAGTGGATGCACACAGGAGGAGTGGCTGTAGTGACAGCGGTACAGCTTGTGTCCAACACACAGCTGAGCCCAGCAAATCCCAGCGCTCTGCAGCTCTCCTTTACAAACTCCACACACTGCGCAGGTACACGAGCGTCAGTGAGAGCTCAGTGCCCACAGCCCCAGGAAAATGACACCTAGAGGGAGACAACCAGTGAGTACAGGGCTCCTGAACTCTCTGCTGTCCACCAGCACAAGGACCAGCCCACACCAAGCCCCAGGGACCAAGGACAGCTGTTCTTACACCAGCCCCAACTGCCCAGGGCCAGCCCCTCTGCTATTTCAGCACATATACTCCCAGCAGGAAGCAGGGACACCCAGCAGGATAAGCAGGACTTCACCCTGTCTAACTCTGCTCCGAGTGACTTTACATCCTTCCCTACTCTACCCTGGGTGGCAGGACTTGGGCAGTTCTGCAGACAACCTGGGAGAAAAGTGCTGCAAGCTGAAGCCCAGCCCTTACCTGCCAGCTGTTGTTTCATTCCTCTAACAGGTCCATAAACCAAGGATAATTAAATCTCTCCTAAACTCTCTTCCATTTAAAATAAAAATCTATAGTCCCTATTTCATTAGCTGGCTCTAGGTTTTACAGCTTGATCAATTCCCCTCACAGGGCCCTGGTCCTGGACAGGCAGATGCAAACATGCAGCTTCCATGGTGTGGATCAATGGGATTTGCAGTCTCCTACCCCATTCCTTGTTCCTCACTCACCAAAGGGAGCCACACAGCCCAGCGGGCAGAGTGTTTCACTCCTCAGGGGAACACCACTGCCATATGTGGCTTCAGAGGTTGGAGTGAGCACCTGGCAAGAACAGAGGCAGCAGCGACACTCCCTCTCCATGAAGGGCCCCAAGAACACAGTCATGACCCTAAAGGCGAAGCAGCCCAGCAGGCCAGCAGGGTGACATCTCCCTGTTTGCTCCACAGTGAAGAGGGACAAGCTCAGCTCCCACAGCTGACAGCTGGAGTCAGAGCCCACCACAAGCACCAGCTGGGAACCAAGAGCACCGCCACCTCTCTGACCTGCCTGCACACAAAGTGGAGGAGACTCATCACTCAGACCCAGGCACATGGGCTCAGTGTTTCCTGCCCTTCCCAGCCCTCTGCTGCTGCCCTGCCACACAACACCTTCCCCCTGCCAGCCTGCCAGGCCAGCAGGCTCCAGATGGCTCTTGCCACCCCTGCAAGCCTCTCCCTCCACTGCAGCAGGAGCTTCCAAAGCCTGGCAGCAGATGGAGGGACCACAGCAGCAGCCAGAGCTGCACCGAGAGCATCCAGGCAGAGCCCATGGAGCGGACATCAAAGTGCTGGGCAGCCCTTGGCCACAACCCAGGTGCCCCCCAGCACCTATCACATCATTTCCCTCTGTTTCGGGTGCATATCCCTCCCTCCCTCCCACCTTTGCACAGCCAGAAAGCAGCAAGTTGCCACAGCCTGAGTCCTGTCAGTGCCAGGACACACCATGTGGCAGCACGAGGGAAGGTCCGGCAGCCCCAGCTCCAGTGAGCTCTGCCCTGGCCACACAATGCCAGTGACGGACAGACCACACCACCGGGGCCCAAATCCTGATCTGTACTCGAACCCGCTGGTACTTGCCAGGGGACATCAGGACAGATTTCTGTCCACTGCTTGGAGGGTGCCTAGCTCTGAGCAAGGCTAGGATAACAAAGCTTTGCCATCTCACCAGCACTCCTTGCATGGCTGCGTGCAGGGAGGTGGCACTGGAGCATCCCAAACACACACAGGTGCCTCCTGCCTCACCTCCCATGCCAACACCTGCCCTGTCTCCACTGGCACCGTGTCCCAGTGTGGGGGGGAATGGAGGGGCCACAGTTCACCTGCCAAACCTAACCCACTGCTTGAGGAGTGTGACACCACCCGGCCAGCCCCAGAGCAGACACCCAAAGGTGACAAACAAAGGCGCCCAGCAGGCACTCCGCATTAGCAGTATTTTTAGACACCACTATGGAGCCGGCCTTATTATTTTCATTGCAACGTGCATAATTACCCACCATGCACCGCAGTGACATCAGACGCAGCCGGCTCTCCTCCGACAGCTGCTCCTCCTCCCGGGGCTCCTGCCTGGCCCCGGGGACCCACCTGCCCCGCCAGGCTCTGCCCTGCGCGTCTCCCCGGGGCACAAGACCCCACCTCGAGGGGGGCCTCGAGGTCCTGGGGCATCAGAGCCGACATGGGCGCAGGTGATAGAGGGACAGAGCAAGGCACAGGACAGCGAGAAGGCCAGCGCAGGGATGATGTCTGGAGCTGCAGGCACACACAGCCTAGTTGTGCTGGAGCACAGGGTCGGTGCAGAGCTGGTGGACAAGGTACCAGCACAAAACAGCCACACTCCTGGGAAGAGGGGTTGTCCCCATCTGGAGAAACAGCACCTGCCTAGTCACAGAGCTCAACTCCTGCCTGGGAGAGCAAACTCTGGAGCACACCCCAGCTGCCCACACCGCGGTCCCACAGGTCCTCCGTGGGACAGGGCTGCCACGGGCCCACACACAGCCCATGGTGCCAACACACATCTTGCCGGGCCGGCGGCACGGCTTGTGCCACTGCCACCACCCCGGGTGCCACCACCCCCACCCCGTCACCTCGGACTCATTTGTTTCCTACCTCCTCCCCAGGGACAACTTTCCGAAGAGTTTCACCACTTCCCCTCCCGTCCCCTGTCGCACACCGGAGCTTGCCCCGAGCTGGCACAGTTTACCGGGTCCGGGGAAACGGCGGACGGGACACCGCGAGGTGCCAAGCAGGACGGGACACAGTTAGAAGCCCCTAACTAAAGCCAGACAACCAGCCTCAGCAGAAGCCCCTGACTCCGCCCGGCCGGGGTCGCGGGAGACCCCAAGAAGGGGCTCCGGCCGGGCCAGGCTCGGACAGCCCCCATGGGCAGCAGCGCTCCGGCCCCCTCCCCGCTGCCCGCCCTGTCCCCGCGGGGCTCCCCCAGCACCGGGGGCTCCTCCCACCGCCCTGCGGCTGCACCGGGCCTGGCTGCGCTTCGCGGCCGCTTCCCCGAACCCCAATGCCCCGGCAGCAGCCACCCCCGCCCGCGCCGGCCATCCGCCCCCTCCGCACACCGGGCCCGGCCCGGCCGCCCCCGCCGCACCGGGCCGCGCTCGCTCCTCCGCCCGCCGCACCGGGCCCCGCAGCCCTGCATCCGCCCCATCGCTCTGGGCCCTGCCCGCCGCCCTCCCCGTCCCGCTGCTCCGGGGCTGCCCTGCTCCTTCCCCCAGCCCTGGGCCTTGCCCGCCGCCTCCCCCTGGTGCCCCGGCCCTGCCCCGCACAGCCCGGGCCTGCGGCCGCCGCCGCGCCCCGTACCTTCGGGAGGCGCGCCCCCGGCGCTCGGTGCCGTGCCCCGGCGCTGCCCGCCCCTCAGCCCGCTCGCATGGCGCGGCGGCCGGGCCCGCCGGGCTCCGTGTCCGTCCCGGTGCCGGTGCCAGTCCCGGTGCCGCTCCCGCTCCGGCCTCAGCCCCGCCTCATGGCGCCCCCGCGCCCGCCGCGCCGATGGAACCGGCCGCGCCGCGCTGCCCCCCCCCTCCCAGCGCAGCGCCGCCTCTCCCCCCCCGCGCCGCGCCGATGGGCGCGCCCGCCGCCTGCTGCCGTAATGAGCCGAAGAGCGGCGCAGCACTGAGCGGAGCGGCGGAGCGCCTCGGCCGTAATGCTCCGAGCGGCAGCGCACTACAGCACTGCACTGAGCCGGGACAATCACAGGAATTGGAGAATCACAGAATTAATTAGGCTGGAAAAGATCTCTGAGGTCATGCAGCCCAACCTGTGACCCGACACCACCATGTCAACTAAGTACCACAGTCTTTCCTTAAACATCTCCAGGGATGGTGATGCCACCACCTCCCTGGGCAGCCCATTCCAAGGCCTGGCAAACCTTTCTGTGAAGAAATTCATCCTGATGTCCAGCTTAACCTTCACTAGTTGCCAGGAGGAAGACCTCCACTCCCACCTGGCTACAACCTCATTTCAGGACCCTGTGGATGTCTCAGATTCACTAGTTGCCAGGAGGAAGAGGTCCACTCCCACCTGGCTACAACCTAATTTCAGGACCCTGTGGATGTCTCAGGACACCCTGGGAGGTGTGGAAGTGCCCCAGGACAGCAAGGGGCAGTTTGCAGAACAGTGTCCACACCAGCCCCAGGAATCTCCGGGGGGCAGAGCCCTGGGGGACTCTGGGGGTAACCCCAGGTAGCTCATGGGGTGCCTGTGAGGATGCCCTGAGCAGCCTTTGCAGGAGCTGGGGTGGCCCTGGAGCAGCTCAGGAGAGGTTTGCTAAGGGGTGGTCACAGTCTGTCCCCTGTAGCCCCTTCTCTGGGGGTTCTCTGACCCAGGGGTAGGGTGAGATGGGAACCTCAGAGCACGCTGAGTGTCTGGGGAGACTCCAGAGTTTCTCCAGTTTTCAGGCCCTGTGGGTTCCCCAGGGAATAGGGCCATGGGTGTGGGGGTCCAGCAGGCTGGCCATGCCCCCCCACCACCACCTCCCAGCCCTTTTCTGCCTGAGCAGAGCTGGACAATCCACCCTTGTCCCTAGCGGGTCTGAAGTAGGTCAGGGAGGCTGGGCCAAGCTCCTGGGGAGGGGAGTGGGTGGCAGGGGGTGCAGAGGGCCCCAGGCATCCGCCCCAGCGGCCACACTACAAGGTTGGTGCCCACCCCCTGTCCTGGTAGGACCCCAGTGTCCCCAGCCCAGGGGATGCAGGGCATTTCCCTAACCTCCCTTTGGTCTCCTGGGGTGGTTTGGGATCCCTCTGCATCCCTGCAGTCTCCAAACCCCTTCTGGGAGCTGGGGGGTCCCATGGATGCAGGTTGGGGTGGCTGAATCCTGAGGGACAGCACCCAGTATGGAGACCTGGGGACTTGGTTTTGGGGAGGGAGCCTGGAGCTGGGTGGGAACTGTGGGACGAGAACAAGGAATACAGAAGACGGGAGAGGGATTTCTCACCCCTTAATTGCAGTTAATGATTGATGAACATGTTTACTGCAGGAGGCAAAGGTCTGGCAGTGTCAAGATGAGAGTGCAGAGGCAGCATCCCCAGGGACACAGCCACAGGTAAGGGATGTCAGCTCCTATCCCCCCCACGGGCACCTGGCTGCATGGGGGGGAGGTGGGGGTGTCTGTCTCCTGTGGAGCTGCCCACAGGCCCTGGCACAAGGAGGGAGACACCGTGGTCATACCATGGGTTACTCTTGGACTCCAAGCACTGCTTGGAGAGGCCCTGTTGGGCACAAGCAGTGGAGCCTCCAGCCATGCCCAGGACAGGCTCCTGGGGTCCCCCAGGCACACCTATAGCCTCTTCTGTCCTCCCATGCCATGTCCTCAGGGAGCCCCTGCCCAGGAGTGCAGTGTGGAGCCTGGGGTTTGCTCACCAGCAAGAGGGGACTGTCCCCACCAGCACCTCTCCTGCCCTGGTGGCTGCTCCCCAGGAGGGGTTTGGGGGGCAGGCCTCAGTCTCTGAGGTGCTTGTTCCCTGGTGTGTGCCCGCAGGCATCCTGGCAGGATGGCATGGCGCTCTTTGGTGCTGCTCCCCTTCCTCCTGGCAGCAGGTAAGGACTCCTCTTGGCACCTGGCATGGCTGGGTGGGAGCTGTTGGAGCTGCTTTCAACCCCCAATACTCTTTCTCCATTCCCTGGGGGAAGCTGCAACCCCAAAACAGCTGCCTGTCCCACTGGAGATCCAGGGCAGGGCAGGGCTGGACAGCAGGGATGTGCTCTGGAGGTGTGGGATGAGCACAAGGGCGAGAGGGCTGGGGGTTCCCCCGCCTGCCATGGAGACCCAAACCACGGCTGGAGCTGAGGCTGGAGCTGAGGAGGTGCTGCCAGACGTGGGTCTGCCAGCAGAGCCCAGCACTGCCATGCTGCTCAGCTCCTCTTCCCTGCAGTTTCAGGAAACACTGTCCCCATCCTCAACGTGACCATCTTCTACGTGCCTGAGGACCTGGAGCTGGGTGAGTAGGGCGGTCTCAGGAAGGGTCTGGGGTGTCAGAGGAGCGACTGGGGGGGTCTCAGGCAGGGGCTGACACTGCCTGTGCCCCCAGACCAGCTTGCTTTCCAGCTGAAGGCTTATGACATAGACAACGACACTCTCACCTACCAAATCGGAGGGACAGATGCCTTCTACTTCTCTGTTGACTCCAAATCAGGCAGAGTGACACTGAGGAGCTCCCTGGACCGTGAGGTGAGGGCAGAGGATGGGGTCAGATGTCCCTGCCTGAGTGGGTATGGGGATGGAGGGCAGAGCCTGTGGGTCACTCCCTGGCCCCAGAACCCAGCTCCCGGAGGGAAAGTTTACCTCACAGAAGTTGGGGCTCAGCCACCCAAGGATTGAGCTTCACCTTGGCCCTGACCAAGTCCTGCCTTGTGTCTCCTCAGCTCCAGGCCAGGCTCACCATCACCGCCATGGTGTCGGATGGTGTAAATAATGCGGTGAGTGCTGGGGGGCTGCAGGGGGAGGGGAGACCCAAGGACAGGGCTCAGTGGGAAGGCAATTGGAAGCGGGTGGGTGATGCTGGCTGGCTAGCCAGGGTGGGCATGGGGTGCCAGCACTGCACCCAGCTCTGCTGGCCGCCATCTCCCACACCCCCATCCTTGTGCCCTCTCTGACACCTGGTAGGTTTCCAGAAAAGTCACCATCATCGTGGAGGACCGCAATGACAACGCCCCTGTCTTCCAACGCCTGCCATATAATGCCATCATCCCCGAGGTACCTTTCTGGGACCTCCCAGTCCCCTGGGCAGCAGGGCAGGGGTGCTGGGTGGCTCTTGTGGCATGGGTGTGCCAGCAGTGGGACAACAACGGGCTGGGAACAATGTGACCCCCCCACCTGGTTGTGTGGTGACAGTGTGCCTGGGCGTGGGGTTGTGCACAGTGCAGCCAGCACCTGGGAGCACTCTGTCACCAGGGTAATTCCCGATGGGAGCCTCTGCGTCACCCTGAGACGCTGGAATGTGACTGGGACTCTGCCCTTGCAAAGAGTTCAGGGTGTGCCCAAGCCACCTGCCAGCCCAGGACACCGTGACACTGGATCAAGGTGTAGATGGGGCGTGGGGCTCAGTCCGACCCCCATCCAGCATCTCCAGGGCTGGGGTGGAGCCTCTGCTCCCCAGGGAGGGCAGCGAGGGGGTCCAGCCTCTGAGCGAGGGCAGCAGCTCATCCCTGTGTGTCCCACGGCACCGGGCAGTGCTGCAGCCCTGCAGGGCCACAACGTGCCAGGGCAGGGAGGGCTGGCAGGGTCCAGGCCCAGCATCACCCCCTGCTCTGTCTCCACCACCCCCCGTGTGCCCAGAACACGGCTGTGCACAGCATCGTCTACAGCGTGTTTGCCAATGACAGCGACAGTGGGAACGCCTCCAAAGTCAGCTACAGCATCGAGGAGGTGAGCACAGGGCACTGTGGAGGGGGTCTGACCATATCCAAAGCCCACCCCTGGGCCACCCCTGTGCTGCTGAGGTGCTGGGGGACATGGCCAGGGCAGGCTCATATCTCTGGGGTGCAGGGAGTTCTTGGGCAATGGGTGCAAGGTGGTTTCAGTTTCAGGCTGGGGATGAGCCAGGTGGTTGGGTGTAAATGTTGGGGGGTCCCCATGGGCCAAGCCTGGCAGAAGGATGGGGATAGAGCCCCCATCTCTGCTGGGACACCTCTGCTCCCTGCCTTGGTGACACAGGCTGATGTCCCCTGCTCAGGTGATCCCAGACAGCATGAACAATCTCCAGCTCTTCTACATCCTGAGCAATGGGAGTGTGGTGCTCAATGGTTCCCTGGACTATACCAAAAACACTTTCTACCAGATCAAGATCCTCGCCCAGGTGGGGACCATCCAGGCTGGGGGTGCAGGGCTGCCAGGTAAGGGGGCTGGGTGGCTGACAGGTGCTTTGCTCCTCAGGATGGCGGGGGATGGCTGCACAACAATTGGACCGTCCAGAAGAGCTTTACTTACCTGTCCCTGACCATTAAGGACATGCCCAACCTGGACCCACGGTTCCTCAATGAGCCCTACTCAGGCTCTGTGCCTGAGAACTGCGACCTGGTGAGGATCCTGCCTGCCCCAGTGTCATGTCCCTGCCCCTGGCCCTCCCTGGGGGCTCTTGTGCCCTGAAGTGTCTGGGCCACCAGGCCTGTGGGCAGCTGGAGATGTCATAGGTCCTTCCCTGATGGCCATGTCCCCACAGGGCACCATTGTGCTGACTGTCACTGCCATGGACCAAGACACAGGGGTGAAGGATAGCATCTCCTACATCATCACCAGTGAGTGATGGGGCAGAATGGCTCAGGCAGGGGATGACACAGTGGGATGAGCAGGAGGGGTGGTCAGGCAGCAAGGGTACCCTGGGAACTGCTTCTGGCACCCAGGCCCTGCCAGCCTGACCTGCTGGCAGAGAGAGGGCCAGGCCTGCCTTTCCCAGTGGCTGCCACTGGTTCCTGCTGTCCCCTTGTTCTAGATGCCAGTGTTCCTTTTGTTATCAATGGGACAACGGGCACCATCACTGTGAGTGAGCCCCTGGACCGTGAGCAGCTGCCAAGTGAGGAAATGC